TTTTTTTATTTAAAATGACACGATATTAAAAATGGTAAAAAATTAGTGTTGGAAAATTAAAAAATGTGAAACAAAAAAGCTGTGAGCTTAAGTTTTTATTCAAATTTGGGACCCCCATTATAGCAGTTTTAAGTTTTAACGGCAACATAGGCGATAAAGCGGACTGATTGAAGAAAGCGCCGCCTGAGTGTGAGTGCACACAGTGCCGGGCGGCACTGCAGCACGCAGGCGAACTGGGTCGCTCGCTGCAGTGCGGACCGGGCGACCTCTATACCACTGCCGCCTGCCTGCCGCCTGCCTGCCGCCTGCACTCATACACACTGCGCGGTGTTTGATCGCTACTTGTACTTCTATCTCATGTATTTGCATAACATAGTATTTGTGCGGAAACTAAATAAAAAATGTATAACAAATGATTCCTTTTAAAAACGTAATATTTTATTGCCATAAGAACTAAAGATGTGCACCAATCAGTTCAATCTATGAATGGGAAGTGAGCAATTACTCGACAAAACATCTTGGCCTTTTTGAATCATTTTCTCCACATGTACTCTTTTTTCATCCATCTTTTCAACTCGCCAAAGTTCTAATCCTCATATGTCCCCTTTATTTTAAGGGGATTATACAATCTGCCTAAGGGTAATTTGTTGGTCGCAAATTAACCACTTGACTTGTCACCGTTTCATCCAGCCAGCTTTTATTCCATTTTTCACGTCGCGATCAATATCGTTGTCGTTTTGTATTAATGAGTCGAGGTACGGAAGTCGGAGCAAACTGGAATGGGACGCTCTCTGGTGCAGGCTTCTTACAGCCACATTTAACTTGACCGGTACTTTTTGAGGTCAACGAACACTATATGCACCTTTTGTACATTCTTCTGTACTTTCACACAATTGATGTAATGCGAATATGACGCCTCTTATGGAGCGAACAATATGCGTGTGAAGAGTGCGGGCCACTGCACAGCGTGAGGTCGAATCAATTGTAATTGTGCGCCGGCAATGGGACGCGGGTCGCGGTGCACAAGGCAGCGAGGAAGCGGCGCTACTCTCACGTACGCACGCACTGCTCACTGTCGAAGGAGTCCATTTTCTGCGGCACCTCAAACTAATAACTTGGACTTCTACTAGTAATGTCTGCTCCTTAGTGTAGCAATTTGAACCAACACGACGCAGTGACGTACGAATGTTGCTTTTGCTACTATGACCTTGCTGAATACCCTGAATCCTTTGTTAAATTTGCAACTTCAAAGTTGTCGTGATATTATAGTTAGCTTGCACTGTGGACCAATTGAATCGTGTGTTTACACATATTTAATTTGTCCCTTGCAAATGCTGATTTTTCTAATGTAGCGTCGATGTTCGATTGTAAGCTTAGAAGGTATAAGTTTACACTGTACGGCGCTGGGCGCAGATAGCGATGACGGCGACGGTAGCATTTGTTATATAAGTTCCGCAAAATTTTTCATACAACAGCAAAGTGTGTTAGTGTTATTAATTTAAAGCCATTGCAAATCAAACGGTTGAATGTGAGATCAGTGGCCGGTCTAGTTTGATTGAGGGCAGGCAAGAGCACGCCGATATCGCCCTTCGGTCCCATGACATAGAGGTGAAGTCCGCGGAGCGCGGCCGGCGACAGCGCCACGTTGTCGTCGCGAAGGCCGCGCCGCGCCACCGGCAACCACTGGCAATTGGCAACTAGCATGCCGAGAGTTTGGTGAGCGGTGAATTATCTGTATGATTACAATACTTACTGTGCGTGCCTTTCAAAGAATTTGCCTTGTTTGTTTGTGCTATTCTTGAATATCAGCACGAAATTAGTGTGCGGGAACAGCGGTGATAACGAAGGTGTCGCGGAGCACGATGATCGTGCCGACCTCCGAAAGATTATTTATAATGCGAGTTGCAGAAAAAGAGAAAGAATTTTTGTCCTTTGTGTCGTTTTCAACAAAATTATGGAACTCCGAGTCTTTACTGATATGTGATATAAATAATTAAGCGTATTTTAAAGTAAGAACCGTCGCGGTCCACTAGAGCGAAGCGGGCTAGCCCCCCCCCCCGCCCGCGTCGCCTGCGACGCCGCACGGGGTGGGTCCAGGGAGGCAGCGCAGGGTCAATGCTATATTTGCATTGCACACGTCTGCCAGCACATCACACCTCACTTGGTTATTTGTAGGACACATGATCTGCTACACAAGTTTATGTGCAGTCGGCTGCATAAATATGTGTACATTTACGATCTTAGTCTTATCTGTCAATAACATGTATTCATGGACTGAACCATATCGATGGACACGTGGTTACATATTTTTAAAACAGAACAAACACAACAGCCTTCACCAGTTTCTATAGTTTACTGAATGTTTATACACGTGCAGTGCAGACCCAGCACGACCCACATTCATGTCTATTGCTACTGCTGCTTTAACCAGAGATGCTCAGAAAGACTCCAAATTCTGATGTGGTTTAGCGCAGATATTCTCCTTCAAACGTCGTCCACACCGAAGGGTTCGGAGCTTACAAAATTTTATGGGTGTAAATGCGATGTTGTTGACTTCGAAAGTCATTGAATTTCTATACCAATATATGCACTTTGTATTACAATGTGTCCGTCTGGTATCAGCCCCGGGTTAGTCTTAGGTACACCGGCAACACCGACAACACCGACAACAACTGTGCACCTCTAATACTTGATTTACTTGAAAACATATATCTCATTATATTTGAACTTAGATACCTGACTAGGCATGATCATTTACACGGTTTACTTATATGTGTGTGTTGTGGTGATCGATTTTAACGAGTGTATATTTCGTGCGCCCCAGTCTTCTAGGTTTCCTGTTTGCAGTGTGTTTTGCATAGAACACACGTGTTCTACATATTATTGTTATCGTAGTGCAATCATCTAATAATACGCACGGGCTCCGATCTGGTCATGGTCGTTGATACGAACACGATGTTTCCCTTAAAATTAAGAAAGTTAGTTAAAGAAACATACAAAATTCGTAAATCGATAATATGGCAAATACGTCGTTTACGGTGAGGTGTGGTCAAGGCAAACTGTGTCTTTATAAATAATAAAAATATGTTGCTTAAAGCGGGCCTCTTTCAAATGCTCCAGAGTTCGAGTGACTGTGAGTGATTGGCAAAGGACTCGAATCCCTCCGGCTTTTGTAAAGGCCTCTTCAGAGGTCGCACCTGATTCGAGAGGTCACTTGTTTGTTCGAAAAATATAGAAGAACCCGCCATTTGGTCTGATACGTGTAAACTATGCTATTATATGTAAAGCAAATATAGTAAACAGCAATTCATATGTTACAAAAACATATAATACGTATTGCAAATACATACATGTTTTGCGCATGGGGTGATTACGACATTTTCTCAAGAGGAGGGTAATGCTTTACGTATTACCGCTGGTTTGTGGGCTACATTTACGTTATCAGTGTATGTGTACCTAACATCACAATCATAACATGACTGGTTAACTTGTCGGTTGAAAGTAAATCTGTACGATGTGCCTGTTGCTGTTGGGCGGTTGCGGGGGAAGCGGCGGACGGCGGGCTGCGGGCGGTGCAGCGGGTCGATAGCGGCGTCTATGCGGAGTGCGCGCTCTGCCGGTCTCACCTAGCGCACTAAAATGTCAAACTGCACGCAAAACTTATATTTTACAACACAACTTACATTTGTCGCACATAATGTCGTCGTTAATTATAGTTTGCTGATCTTTTGTGTTTAATTTCGATTTCACTTCGTTATGTCAGTCGTTCTCTTTATTCTAAGATTACTTTGATTTGTATGCCTCAGATGAAGAAAATGTTATTATGTTCCTACAGATTCGTATTTCGTGTGATGTGCAATTCGCTTTTAATTTCCATGTAACTGGTACATTGTTCTCAAAAGACACGGCTTCCCTTTGCTTGACGTGCGCGTGTAAGACCAACGGTCTTGACATAGTGTCTTGACCGGCAAGCAGACGGAGTCTTTGTTACTTCCCCCCGCCCCTTAGACCCCTCACCCCGCGCGCATCAAGAGCACAACATACACGCACTGAGGCCGATGTTATCTTACATGAAATAAATAAATTAGTAACGGTTTGCTGTTTCTTCAACGTCATTTAACAATAAAATGTGATGGGATAAAAATCAAGTAAAATCTGAACGAAAATAGTAAAGAAAAGGGGACATTGCTCGTGTAATTGTTAGGTGGCGGTGGTGCAACAGTTGTACAATGTTTTTGCTTCAACGACTGACCTACGGTGTCTCCCCGACTGCCGGACGCCCCCGCATCCGGCGAAGATGATACGACACGACCCACAGGATGGAGAGGTGCTTTGAGCATGAGTCCAAACGCTTTAAGGTGAAATTGGTTCTCGATGCGTTGTATCATACTGAGTTGGATTGTTTTTGATGTTCAATGCATTTTGTAGACTGCCTGCCAAGGCCGCAGTATATGTTTGAGTGTGTAGCGTGACGACGGCTGACGGGCTGCGAGGCGCGCTACTCACACATAACAAGTGAGACAGCGAACCGTCAAATTGAACCCGCGAAAAGTTTATTCGTTAACAGACATTAAATTGTTGCGGTCCGGTCCGAAGAAAGAAACGTTTTATTCATTGGTAGTCTGTAATTTGTGTATGTCTGGTATAAGTGACGCTGGGCACACGGAGCGTATCAGCGGCGCGACGCGACCGGGTGGCCGGCGAGGCATCGAGTGCGCGCCGCGCCGCCGCTCACTGCCCTGCCTTATTAAGCCTGTGTAAAGCGATCAATTGGATGTACTATACATTCATTTGCCTTTTAATTGGTCACTCTTTATCACCATTGTGTGTTCGTACATATGTATCGTTTTAGAAACATTATGGTACAGCTGCACGCAAACATGTTCATATATTTTTATTGACAAGAACAATTCGTCATTCTTGTGGCCTGCCTGGATGGCTTAAATAAAATTTAACAGAATGAGCACAAAATTGAAACAACGAATGATGGCTTGTTGCAGGCTTGGTGTCGGTGTCGGACGGGCAGGTGGAGGTTGCGCCGCTGCGCGAGCACTGGCGGCCGCTGCTGGCACACTACGCGGGCCCCGCCGCCGCGCTGCTTCTGGCCGCACTCTTCGCCGCCGCGCTGCCGCTGGCAGGGTGAGTGCCGCCCGCCTAGCACTCTCAGCACGCCCAGTCCCGAAGACACTGCCCGTCAGTGCTCGCTAACTGCCGCCGTGTTGCAGGCTGTTCTGGTGCTGCTGCCAGTGGTGCCGCGTGGGCCGGCGCCGGCGGCCCTTCGACCGCAAGTACGACGCCTGCATCAAGGGCATCCTCGCGATACTCCTCATCGGCTTGCTGACGCTCTTCCTGTAAGTGCGATTATTCCTTACATTTTTGTTCGATACAGTTATCGTATCGAACATAGTTTTAATGGCATCACTGGAAAAAAATATTGTCTTATTTGTATAGAGATTTCCTTTGTGTTCTAAACACAGAAATAACTCGCTATTTGCGTTTACAATATGTGCTTATCATGTTTTCAAAATGGGTTTATTTATGACGTTTCAGATGTTGTACAATTTGTATGCTTTTAATTGTTAGTTTGTTACTATCAAATTATAAGAGGTGGTCGTGTTGCGGCAGGTTCGGCGTGGTGTGCGCGTTCGCGACGGACTCGCAGGTGGAGAGCGGGTCCGCGGGCGCGCCGGCGGCGCTGCGGCGCGGCCTGCGCGACACGCGCGTCTTCCTGAACGCGACGCAGGCGCACGCGCGCTACCTGCTCGTCGACAACTACGCCGAGCTCGAGCGCCGCCTCAACGCCCTGCTCACCTGTCAGTACTCGCCTGCACGGACGGGCCGGCTCCACCGCACATAAGACAAACGTCAATTGGAAGCAATTTTGCGTTTCGTCTGATGAGTGTGGGTTCCGTAGCCCTATTTTTTATGAGGAAAGGGCGGGAAGAGGAATTGGATCAGATGGAGGACGCATAGAAAGGGGAAATATTCTATTTCTGTGCCGCCTACATGTATTTGCGGATGTGCATGGGCAACGGTCGCTTCGCTATTTGACACCTTATGGTATAAAATAATTAGTTTACATGATTTATGAGGGTAGATGGAATGGGTTCGCAGACAGCGGGGTGCTGATGTCGCAGCAGCTGAGCGAGGAGTCCGGCAGCGCGGCGGTGGGGCGGCTGGAGGCGCTGCTGCGCCAGCTGCCGGCCGCGCGCACTGCGCTGCGGGAGGTGCGCGAGCGCACGCACGCGCTGCGCGAGCACGCCCAGCGGCTCAACGCAGGTGCGCGCGCCTCCCCCCTCCTCCGTCCTCCCTCCTCCGTACTACTATTGCTAACAATGGTGTCGTTTTGCGGCAGGACTGCGCAAGGTGAAGGCGCTGCTGCTGCAGACTCTGAACGACTGCGAGCAGCCGAAGTGCCGCGAGCTCAAGGACAAGTACAAGATCGGTCAGCTCGACACCGAGATACAGTACAGCCAGGTCGGTGCTGCTCCCCCGACCCCTCAACTATAACCTTATTAAACAATAGTACATATATCAGTATTCGCGATCTTTGTACACATTTAGAATGTCGGGCGGACGACAGTTGAAATATAATAAATATTTGAATGTAAACTTGCACGCCGCGCGGACCAGATGCTGGATCAGTACTTCCCCACCGTGAGTGTTTGTCTGCTTCTGTTATGGATTCGGCACTGGTTAGTTAGTTAGTTCGCTTTAATGAAGAGAGTGGTGTGCGTGCGGGGGCAGATGCCGGACGTGTCGGCGGTGCTGGGCGAGCTGGGCGCGCTGCTGGACGGCAACCTGACGGCGGAGGTGGGCGGCGGGCTGGAGGCGGTGCGGGGCGTGCAGCGCGCGCTGCGCTCGGCGGTGGAGGAGCGCGCGCCGCACGTGCAGGCGGCGCTGGCGGAGGCGGGCCGGCAGCTGCGCGCGCTGGCGGAGCGCGTGCAGGCGCTGGCGGGCGAGGCTGGCGAGCGCGTGGCGCAGCACGCCGCCGCCGCCGACTGGCTGCAGGGTGCGCTGGACCGCCACTCCGTCTACTGGCGCCACACCGGGCGCGCCGCCGCCGCCTGCCTGCTGCTGGTGACTCCTCCTTCTCACTGACTCGCTTCTCCTTCTCCCTCTCGTGTTGAACGTGAATGTTGCATATGTGTGATGTGCGCCGCCAGATAACGTGCCTGCTGGCGTGGGGGCTGGTGTGCGGCGTGTGCGGCAAGCGGCCCGACGTGTACGGCGCCAGCGACTGCTGCAACAAGGGTGCCGGCTCCAGCTGCCTGCTGTGGTGAGTGCCGGGGGTGCGAGGGTGCGAGGGTGCCGGGGGTGCGGGGATGAGGGCAGCGAGTGAGGTGTGCGTGTGTCCGCAGCGGGATGGCGGTCACGTTCCTGGTGGGCGGCGCGGTGACGCTGGTGATGATGGTGTACTTCGTGGTGGGCGTGGCCAGCCAGCGCTTCGTCTGCGATCCCCTCACGTGAGTCTCGCAATTTCGCTTCTTTCTGTTGAAGAAATATCTATAACGGGAAAAGTGAAGCTTTAGTGTACGAGATGGACGACTGTTGAATGGAGAGAGGAGACTGAGGGGCTGACTGAGGTGGTGGGGACGTGTCCGCAGGGAGCCGCGCGGCAGCCGCGTGTTCGCGGACATGGAGCGGTTCGTGGAGCTGCCGGGTGGCGGGGGCGCGCAGCTGAACCTGAGCGCCGTGCTGCTGCGCTGCCACGCCAACCGCACCGTCTACGAGGTGAGCGTCGACATACACACCGGTATGTTGTACACGTGAGGAGCGAGCGTCCGGTAAGAGCGAGGATGCTGCAGACGCTGGAGCTGTGGCGCGTGTTCGACCTGGAGGCGGTGGCGCAGAACGCGTCGCGCGAGGTGGCGGCGCGCGCGGCCGAGCTGCGCCCGCACCTGCCGCACGGCGTGGTGCTGCTGAGCGAGGAGGCGCGCGCCCAGCTGCGCCGCCTGGCCGCCGCCGGCCTCTCCGACCTCGAGTACGACCGCATCCTGCAGGCCGTGAGTCGCCTTATATCTCAACTCGGTTGTCTATGACGATTAGAGTCGATAAGAGAGGGTCGCGTTGCGTGCAGCTGGAGACGAACATGACGTCGCTGGAGCTGTCGGGGCTGGTGGCGCAGCTGCGCAGCACGGCGACCGCTCTGGCGGCGCGCGCGGGCTACGCCGAGGTGGCCGCGCGGCTGGGCGACGCCGCCGACGAGCTGGCCGCGCTGCAGGCCGACGTGCTGCGCCCCATGCTCGACCACACGGAGCGCCTCAACGTCAGACTCTTCTTTATTTATCCACCAATTTTACCGATTTATTTATATACGGCTCGGCCGAGGAGAAGCATGTGTAAACTTACGAAGAAGTGAACGGTGCGGCCGATGCGCTTGCAGGAGACCGTCACGATGCTGCGCGACCGGCTGCGCTCCAACTACTCCTCGCTGCGGGAGGGCATCAACTTCCTCGTGCACGAGACCACTCAAGCCGAACTCTTCCTCAATAATCGGGGCCCGGAACTGGTGCAGAACGTAAGTGGTCAGGGACGACATCCCGATGCGATGCACGTAACGGACACAATATGAGAGTGGTGTCGTCGTGTCGTCCCCAGCTGACGGAGAAGTTCGCGAGCGCGGTGAGCGAGCAGCTGCGCGAGTACGCGCGCCGCCTGCAGCGAGCTGCGCGCCGCGACGTCGGCCGCTGCGGTCCACTCTCGCACGCCTACAACGCCACGCGCGACGCCGGCTGCCGCGCCCTGCTCATGCCCGTCGTGAGTGTCGCCCCGCCCACCTCCGCCCACCTCCGCCCACCTCCACCCACCTCCACCCACCTCCACCCACAACCAGCCTAACGCGCCGCGCGTTGTTCCAGAACGGGTACTGGATCTCGCTGGCGTGGTGCGTGGTGCTGTTCGTGCCGCTGCTGCTGGTGTCGGGCCGGCTGGCGCGCCTCTACCGCCACGCCGACCCCTACCCCGGCCCGCTGGTCGAGGCGTAAGTGTCCCCTTTCCCGCGCCCTCTACATCCACCGCTGTCATATTAAATCCTCCATACGATATCATTTCATATAGATTCACACTTCATCGCTCGCCTCCATCTTACTTATTACGACAGCTCAATTCTTAACGTTTTAAATAAATGTGACATATTGAGAGCACACCTGAGCATCACTTGAGATCTGGTATACAATACATGCGTGAACGTAATGTATCCCTCGCGAAGCAATCACTCATCCGTCATGCGGCAGAGTCCGCCGCCGCCGCCTCCGCCTTCACATCCACCTCCACATCCACCTCCACCTTCACCTCCATCACCGCATCCACCTCCGCCGCACCCCAGTGTTGTGCCAGCAGCGGGCGGCGGCGGCGGCGGCTCTTAATGTACATTTACTTATTTTATGTTCTTATCATTTAATTTTTATTTACGCGTTGTTTTAATTTTTTTGTTAACTTGTTTACTTATTATACGTTCGCTCCTGATCGCTGTATATTGGTGCAAGTGGCAAGTTACGGCTTCTAGACGAGCCCGCATGATCGCCGGCAGTAGCTCCTACACCGTTGTCTGCTTCCACTTAATCATTTGTAAACGTGGCACATATTCTCCCGTCTGGTAAATTGAGTTCATCAACCCCGAGAGAGGCCGGGGCACGCCTCGCCTGCACTCGCATTCTTCTACTTAAATGAACAGCTTCATTATTGACCAAATGGTATTATATCTGCGAACCCTGCGCTTGAGCGTTGTGTGTCGCCGGCTTGTAGTGACGCCGACCCCGCGCGCCCCCCGCACACACCCCGCGCGCCCCCCGCACACACCCCGCGCGCCCCCCGCACACACCCCGCGCGCACCCCGCGCACCCCTCGCAACCGGTCGCCTCTATACTATTGTTGTTTTCTTTGTGATTTAGTTTTTGGTATGTTTCGTTTTGTTCGTGTGATCAGTTCTCATCGAGCACAAGTCATCTTCTCACGTGCATCAAATACTTTACAGGAAACCGGTGTGATGAATATGGATTCATTGTAATGTTTGCATTTAGAATGACCTGATGAACATGTTGCAAACTATGTAATGTATGTTATGCACATGCGTATATATTTCCTTATGCCGTGTCTCCGCCGCACGCCGCACGCCGCACGCCGCACGCCGCACGCCTCCTACCTCACGGACTGTTATCTGTTATTAAATGGTTAAACGAAGGTTAAATACGAGGCTCCTCGGGTTCTGTGAGTGCGGGCGCGTGCGGGCGTGTGCGGGCGCGTGCGGCGGGCGCGTGCGGGCGCGGCTCCCTCTGACACGTGCGTGTGTTGTCTGTTGCAGCGAGTATTTGTATGATGCGTATGCGGACCGCGATAACGTCCCCCTCGCCAAGTAAGTTCCCCGCGACCACACACACACACACACACACACACACACACACCTCGCGGCGGCAAGCTCTTCTCTGTCGCTGATGTAACCTGTACTACTTTCTTAATACTTCCGCTCCTCCGAGTAATGCTGCCGTCACATTGTCTTACTGCATGTTAATAATAAGTAGGCTACAAAGTATCGACTGTCACATATGTCTGTACATAGCATGAGTAATTAGGTGCATGTCTGCGAGCGGCGGCCCCCGCCCCGCTACCCCCGCCCCGCTACCCCCTTCTTATCTTTCGTTTTTTTTATTCGATTTGTTTTTTTTGTTAACCGGGTAGGGACCGAGTGGTGCATTACTTTGCTCAGTATTTAAAACCAAGCGTTCGTTTACTATCGAAGTACAACGCAATGTAACAGTGCGTCCGGGCGCGCCTCGCATACTCCATCGTCGTTTAGCCTTTTGTGAGGGTGCGGATGAGTCGCGGGCGTGGCGCGGGCGAGGCGCGGCCGGACTCACTTTGTCGGCGGTCGGGGTCGTGTGACCTCCGGCCGACGAGAGCGACCTCGCGACTGACCGAAGCGCGCGCGTGCGGCAGCGGCTCCAAGCGCAGCACGCTCGACATCGAGGGCAAGATCGCGGAGTGGCGCGAGCGCAGCGCCGCGGCGGGCGGGCCGGCGGGCGGGCCGGCGGGCGGGCCGGCGGGCGCGCAGTCGGGCACGGCGCTGGTGCTGGAGGGGCGCGAGGTGGTGTGCGCGCTGCTGCCGCCGCCAGCGCTCATCGACGACCTCAAGACGCGCCTCGACGCCAAGGACGAAGACAACGAGTCCGGCATACACGACGCCGAGTAGCGCCGCCGCTCCGCCCCGCCACCCCGCCACCCCGCCACCCCGCCGCCTTATCTATTGTATCGCATATCGCTATGTTGTCAGCCTTGAGCCCGCACTGCCTGGGGAGCGGCTGGCGGCGGCGGCGGCGTCGGCGGCGGCGGGCGGCGGCGGGCGGCGGCGATGATGCGCTCCTACTGCTCACATATCACACTGTATACAAAATACCGCTAAGGTTTCAACGTTTTAAAAAAACGTCACATTCGAGAATTCCGCCCATTTCGTTGTATTTTTTATTGTCAACGTTTAAAAATAGACATGAAATGTACATAGATATCGGCCGCTTTCATTTATTGGAAACTACATTACTTCACATCAAATTAAATATATTTAAAAAGACTTCTGTCTGCTTCACCGTACTGTGGAGATGCAGTAACGAGATGAAAACATTTATCTGATAATGTTTTTAAATAACATGTACCGTAACGATACCTAAACGTAACATGTTCATTAGTTGAATGTATGTAAAGTCCGTTCAGACAGACGATTACGCTCACTTCTGACAAGAAGACGTACAAAGTAAAATGAAACCTCGTTTCTATATTATAAGTTCCATTTAATTTGAGATAAAAATGTGTTCTGCTCTGGGGCGCGGTGTGTCTGCACGGCACTGATGCTGATGCTGAGGCGGCTCGTCACCGCGACGCTTCCGCAATTTAAGAATTTATAAATAAATATTGTATCATCATAGTTGTAGCCAAAGTGATAGTCCTATACAATTGTCTATTTGGAAACTTGTGGAGGATCGATAGCTATACAAAGTCCGCCTTCGCAGGCGCATGCGCATGCATAGCCGCCATGCTCTGTCATGTATTTTAATGCTACGGGGCAAAACTTTTAATGAAATTAGATCGACCTGTGCATTGTACCAATTCAAATGTAACGCTCGAATATGTTCGATAGAAAATTCTGGTGGCGTTCTGATGAAAGGATTTGTCCTATGTATTTAACATATTACGATGTATAATATAATACTTATGGAAGTTGTGGCACTGCAGTGAATTGAAGTAGCTTTTGTATGTGTATAGTGTATAGGGGATGTGTGTGTCGCGCGCCATGTAGTGTCATGTAGTGTCATGTAGTGAACGCGGAGACTGATGACACGTCACTCACATTCTTATTCCCTAGCTATAAGTTTGCTTGTGAGGGCTATTGACGTCGGGGGCGGGGGAGGGGCGCGGGGCGCGGCGGCCGCACGCACCGATGGTAACTAACACTCATTTACAGTTCGCTTGTCGTTAGCACCCGTCTCCTTGCGTGTACTCGGCATGTCCCTAGTGTTTTGTTTGGCCTCATTCCCTCTCTCGTCATGTGACTAGACTAGACCTTCATTCTTTTTCCTGTATACCTGCAGTTGCGTTATTATTTGTTTGCAATTATTTAGCGAGCGGCCGAGGGTCGGAGCGAGCGGCGGGCGCTTCGGGCTCCGCCCCGCCCCGCCCGCTTCGCCGCGCGACCTCCGTCACTCGTCGCCTTGCATGACGTTGCTCCTATCGTCTTCCGGTGGTTCTTCTAGCTTTGTCGCTTTCCCGACTAAAGTTTAAACGGTACATTCGAGGAGAAATTCCGCAGTCGGTCCGTCGCAGCGCCCCGACTGCGCGCCGGACACGATGCGAAGCACCGTTTCAGCTTTACGACTCCCTCGAATAATATTTACCGCCGCTATCGCGAGCGACTATTTCAAGTCGTCGGGGCAAATATTAGTCGGTGGCGATAGCGGCGGGGCGGTGGGCGCCCGGCCCCGTCCGCCTGACTGTGACCTCTTGCAGCACGTACAAGGCGGAGAAGCGCGGGGGGCGCGGGCGCGCCGGGCCGGCGGGCGCGACGGGCGCGGGGGTCGCGGCGGGCGAGCCCGCGCCGCTGGCGCCCCCGCTCGACGCGCACCACGCTCGCCGCTACAACGACATGGCTCCCAAGTGAGTGACGACCCCCCGCCAACACCCCGCACACATCCGAGCGCTAACATAAAAATACGCTATTCCATGTTCAAAAAATGTGTGTTGCAGGCATTGGGAGGAAGGACCCCCGCGCTACCACGGCCCTACTGAGTACGAGCGACCCCCACCGTACTACTATCCCGGACCCCAGTGAGTAGCCGCTCCCCGGCGCTCCCCGGCGCTCCCCCCGGCGCCGCGCGCGCTGCTGCACTACATGTAGCGTGTTGTATGTTTGCAGCGACAGACAGTAAGCAGTGGGTGCAGGGGGCGCGCGACCCGGCGCGGTACTGAGGGGGTCCGGAGCACCGCGACGAACCCGCCTATGGATGGATTTCCCTACAAATAATTTTTCCAGTGTACTGTGTTTACGCGAGTTACAAATCTTATGAAATCTGCCGGTCCTTTTACTTTGTTCGTTCACTCGTTCTATTTAATGGTATTTGTATCTGGTTTTGAGCAGAGTGTCCGGCGTGTGGCGCTCGCCCTCAGCCAACGGATGAGTGAACGACCATTGGATTTATGTTAAACCGAACGGTTTATTTGTAAGGAATTTGTAGCACTTGGCAATCGTCTCTGCTGTCATTTCAGCTCATATTGTTCAATATAGTTACAATTACATGGTTATGTATATGAATGTGGCGGTGCCTGTGCCGCCCTCAGCCCTCAGTCCTCACTCGCAGTATGTCATTATATTGTCAGTATTTGTAAGGCCCGGCCCCGGCCCCGGCCCCGGCCCCGGCCCCGGCCGCAGCGACACGCCGTGTACTAGTCCTGATAATGTAATACTCAATGCATGGTGTCGCTGCTGCGCTCACATCACGTCATCACATTTTATGTCTTTTGCCTCTAAATATGTAAGAATTTACTTCTTTGTTGTTCGTAACTTGGTTTTTTAAAATAATAACTGAATAACAACAAAAAAGGCATGGGACGCGGGGGCGCGGGGTTGAAAGGCGCACAAAGTGGACAGTTGGGCGTGGCGTGGCGGGGCGGGGCCGCAGTCTCGCCCCGCCCCTTGTACTTGCGACATTGGAATGCATTTATACAATATAACCTTAGTTATAAGAAATGAATTGTACCGCAACGTAAGTGGTAGCGTGTAAGCGATGACGACGTATCGATGATGTCGAGCCAATGTATTCGTTGGAGGGATTCCGTCGGGACGTTTAAGAATATTTGTGTAGGGATAATTGTTGACGTAGCAATTGAATTGTGTCTCAATCGCCATATGTTTATTTTAATGATTGTTTTTTTAGAATCGAAATGAGCACTCTCCTATGATTGTCAATGTGAAGTGTTGCGCGGCCGCCTGCGCGGTCGGGGGCGGGGCGGCCGCGCTAAGATCACCAGGTCGGCCGCGCTAGGACCACCAGGTCGGCCGCGCTAGGACCACCAGGTCGGCCGCGCTAGGACCACCGGGTCGGCTCAAACTCTGATGTAATGCCAAATGATGTATTTTCAGTGTTCATATTTTTATTGTATTTTAACTTTTTACTGAAATCGTATTTAGTGTTAAGTCCCGCTGTATTCGACTCTGAGTATATTGTGCGTATAGTATAATTAGTAGCGCTGCGGCGCGCCGTCACACGGAAGGTAACGGGTCGACGACCGGCGTCGGTGACGTCGTCGACGCCCCCTCGACCCGTAGCCGGCGTGTCGTCGCTCAGTGTTCCGTGCTCAAGCGGTGGCGGCTCCGTGTTGGTGCCGCTCCCTCGTGTTTACACAACTGCGTAGGTTTCAATGTGCCGTATGACAATCGGACGATTCGGTGTACGAGTAGTTGCCAGGCAATGATAGGTATAGTGGGCGGGCGGCAGCGACAGGTATGTACTGTGCCGAGGGACCTGCTCGTACACGGATGACATTCGTGCAATGTGGTGCGGGCGCGGGCGCGGGCGCGTTGCTGCGTCGCTGCCGCGCCCGCGCCCGCGCTGCGCACTTAGTGTAAGTTATATCCGCGATCTGTGGGACGACATTGTAAAACAAATATTATATTTGGTTATCCCTAACGTGATTCGTTTTATTTATTGTCTTACCAATTCCACAATTGTTTTCAATTCAAATATAGATATTTCTTCCAGTTGCTTCCATATAATAATAATACGAAGGCCGATAGCCAAAGATAGATAGTGAAGCCGTGAAGCCGTGAAGCCGGACAGGACAGTATACGGATAATAAAAATCAGCAATTATTGATTGTTTGTTTTTATTTAAACAAAACGTCTCACTTTCAGTCGTCACAAGTTTATTAAAAGAAGTTCCTTAGAATAGAATAAGCGAAGTGCGACTGCTTCAGTCCCACTCTGCTTACCCTACTTATGTCTATTCTGATGCGCCGTATAAATATGTTACATTTTTACATAATATCTTACTAATAGGCAATACTATCCTCGAAGTATTCAACGTTCTTTATACAATTAACTTAAATATTGTCCAGTCAAATTTTCTACTTACAACACTACATGCAAACGCACTATCTTTCCCTATAAGAACCACTTTAAAGTACAACAATGGAATAATTCATTCAGAATTAGTTTGGTACAATGTTGAGTGTTGCGCTAGGAGCGCGCCTGCTTGACGTGCCGCTGCGCCTCGAGCAACAGCCGGTCGAGCTCCGCGCGGCAGGAGCAGTGCAGGAACTCGCGCGGCCGCACTCCGCGGAACACCTCCGCTATGGAGGGCTTCACGTTGTAAAAGATGATCGTCTGCCCGCGCGCGTGGAAGTCCTCGATCAGCGCCTTGATGCCCTGCGCACATAAACAATACTGTTGTCTATTGCCAGCGACAAAGGCACGACGAAGGTGCGAGTGCGGGGGCGTACCCGGGCGGCGGTGAAGTCGGCGGCCTGCACGTGCGAAGCGTCGAGCACGAGCGGCGCGTGCGCGTGTCTGTCGGCCGCCTTGCGCACCGCGCGCCGCACGTACTCAGCCGAGGGGAAAGCCAGCGCGCGGTCCACGCTTGCCACCACGTGCGGCACCCCGTCGCTCGACTGATTGACAAATTACACGCTCAATGTTTTTGATCCTCTGTCGCTGCCACATCATCAACTAGTACAACAGTAACGTGTGTTACCTGCTCTTTTAGAAAAATAGAAGAAAGAAAGCGAGCGTGTAGTGGTCAAAGACACTTGCATAACGCCCGCAAGTTATAAATATCAGTTTTATCAAAGAACGAAAATCAAAAACTTATAACGCGACAACAACTAATGACGTAGCGTGTCTGTGGGGGAGGCACAGACCAGAGCGCTGGTGACGCGCACGGCGGGCCGCGCGGAGGCGTACAGCAGGAACAGCAGATTGACGGCTATGCCCACCACGATGCCCAGCTCCAGGCGCAGCAGCAGGCACGCCGCGAAAGTTACCACCGCGGGGATTATGTCCACCTCTGCAACGGACGGGCAAATTACCCTACTACAGCTTTACAAATACAATATGTGAATATGGAATTCCTTGTACGCAACTCGAGTGTGCTATTTATGTATATTTAAAGTATTGGCGAGAAGACGCGAGTGACATGTAGGTACTAACTCTTGGTCCGCCAGATGGGCTTGAAGACGTGCAGCTCCATCATAAAGATGACGGCGGCGATGATGACGGCCGCCAGCGACGCCTTCGGGATGAAGTAGAAGTACGGCGTAAAGTACTGCAACATAAACGCATCGCTCAGCAACTCCTAAGCACTCGCACCAGGGTAGCACGCTAAACTGTTACTCGATCTTTTTGTGACCTTTGAAATGGCATCACATCGCACCGCTTAGTTTCGTTTGCGTCGCGTAGTATCAGAGGGACGTACCTGCAACGCGAGCAGCACCAGAGCGCCAGTATAGAGTCCGCCGGCGGGTGTGGCGACGCCGGACGCGTGGTTCACGGCACCGCGGGATAACGCGCCCGACACCGGCATCGAGTCCACCAGCGAGGCCGCCATGTTGCACACGCCTAGAGCTATCATCTCCTGCGTCGCGTCAACGTACTTGCCTTCCGCTGCAACACGCACAGCGCAAGCATTCCATAAACGTATTACTTTGTACAAACTAAATAAAAAGTACATTAATAAGCAGCACCCAAAAAGGTCAATAAAGAAAAAAATATATAAATGTTGAACCTATACAAACCGTAAGTAGAAATATAATATGTACGTAACTTTGTAAAGGGTTCGATATGTAATGTAGCGACTCTCTAATTTGACCAATTAATTTACCAACGGGTGGCAATCAGTTGGTGGCATCAGGGCGGCGGTGGCATGTTACAATACATTACAAGAACATAGAATATTTACAGAAGACTTTAGCGAGAGCGATGTTTTCCAGTATGGAGAGCAGCGGCACCACGAAGATGGCGGAGCCGAGTGTCGAGGTCATCTCGGTGAAGGTATAGGTGTGATTACCCACCGTGGCCGACAGCGGCGGCAGCGCCAGGCGCGGTAGGCCCGCGCGCACCTCGCCTGCAACACACCGTCCACACACAACATATACAAATGTCACTTACCGAACTGAAATCAATATAACTTATGTAAACACCAAACAGCGAATCGTTTGCACTCTCAATGTAGTCCGTGTCGGACCCGTTTATGTTGCTTTTGTTATTTATTTTGTTTTAATAAGAATTCATTAAATTAGGTAGCGGTCGTGTCCTACGACTAAGGCCATACCGGTGAGAACGAAGGGCGTCTGGTTTTTGGTGTCGAAGTAGTACGCGAGGCCGGCGCACACCAGTACCACCAGGATGTTCCTGGTGGTGGAGAGGAACCACAGCGCCTGTGCTAACGCCGCGCGCCCCCGCCCGCCGCCGCCTTTCTCATTCACTCCCACCTTGATGTCTTTCACTTTCTGGAAATATAAACTAATATAACAATACAATGAAGTGATGACGCAAAGTGACTCCATATTGGATAGTTTAGCGAGGCTGAGAGCGGGAACGGAGGCACTGACCCGCAGCAGCAGCAGTAGCAGCAGGCAGCCAAGGCCGAGCGTGGCGTCCCACAGGCGTGTCTCGCCGATGTGCTCGTACAGGCCCGCCCACACCTGCCGGCATCCTCTCACTTCATTATTACAGTTCACGTCTCACGTCACATTACACGAATGCGGAACAACGAATAGATGTTATGTCTTTATTATTTCTTGTGTTCTATTTATACACAAATGATCTCACAATAGATCAAATTTATTTGGCGATTATTGTAAGAAAGAAAGTGAGGGAGGCGGTAAAGCGAGGCGCGGCCGCGGCCGGCGCTCGGTCACCGTCTCCTTTCCTCAAAGATCGAAGTAGGTCGTTGGAAACACGTAAACAAGCATTTGTTAACATTGCAAACAGCAAAAACTGAAGGTTGGTGCTTAATTGTAGCGATGTAAAAAGTTTTATTACATAACAAGCTGTCGCCCCCAAATTCCTCCGCCGGAATTTAAAAAAAAAACTTAATAAGTACCATATGTGTTCTCCCAAACTATGTTCTACATCTATGCTAAATTTCAGCGAGATCCATGAAGGCGTTCTGGAGATAAGTAAGATAAGCCTTTATTCGCTGACCACTACATCACTTTTTTTTTACATAAACAAACTATTATATAATACTTTTTTTAAAAACAGAAAAAAATAGAATTATAGGTTTGTTTTCAGCTTCCAGTTGCTTTGGCAGGATGTCCTTCGACATAGGCCTCCCCTAGATTTTTCCATAGTTTCTTGTTCCGGGCTAATGTTCCCCACCCCTTCGGTAAGTCACCTTCCCATCTCTTTGTTTGACGTCCTCTCTGTCTTTTTCCATTTCTGGGGTACCATTACTTCTTATATAACTATATAACTTCTTTTGCCCATTTGTCTTTATATGTCCTGTCCAAGTCCATTTTAGTTTTTTGATTTTCTTAGAAACATCACTTACTTTTGTTTTTTCCCTGATTTTTGAAAGAGTCCATCGATCTCAGCTTTATGTTTAACATGCTTCTCTCCATGTGACGTTGGCAATGTGCTAGTTTTTGGTTGTCTCTGTACGTAGTAGGCCAAGTTTGGCACCCATAAGTTAGGCAAAGAAGAATACATGTATTGTACAGTTTAGTTTTAACCGACATAGGCATAATTTCGCTTTTTACTATCTCCTTTAATGACCAATAGCGTTTCCAAGCATTGCTTATCCTTCTGTCAACTTCATTTGAATATTGATCTTTAGTGGATATTATTTGGCCCGATGTCTGAGCAAATAACACGATATCATCCGCAAATCTGAGGTGGTTAAGGTTTGTTCCATTAATATTTATTCCGAATTTCTCCCAATCCATATTTCGGAATATGTTCTCGAGATACCCTCAAACAAACATCCATCCATCTATCTATGAAATCATTCGTATTTATAATATTAGTAAGATGAGGGTGCCGTCGCGCGGACTTGTCCTTATATAAAACATTTACTTAGGTATTATACATTGATATTCGATTAGTAACCGTGTAGTGGTAGTAGGAACAGTGTGAGTGCTGCGCAGGTACCTGCAGGAACTTGCCGCCGGGGAAGCTGAGACCGAGGATGTCCTTGATCTGCGTGGTTGCGATGATGATGGCCGCTGCCGAGGTGAAGCCCACCGACACCGGCCCGCTGATGAAGTCGATCAGGAACCCTGCCGACAGAACAAACCTTGCCCCTTCACTCTCTCTCTTAAATACATACTACCTACCTACATTGCAAATGTGCACATGTTAGTCTAATTTTTACATTAGACCTTTGTTTCTTCTGTGTCTCAAATGTCAATGTCATGCAGGGAACGCGTGACGAGGGCGGGTCGCTCTTCATGATCACCACTCGGGGACGTGTAATTAAATGCTTTAGATATTATTAAAGTAATTAATGAAGAAGTCAATGACGCCCCGCAGAGGACGTGATTATCATTCCTCAGGCTGGACTAGTATTTATATAGTGATGTTACACGTGTCTGTATAGTATGCAGATGCAGAACATGAGGAAAACAATTGAGCTCGTGAAAATTATACAGCTGTTAGGAAAAAGTTACACTTATGTTTGTATTTAAAAACGAATACTGGCAAAAATAAGCTATGCTAAAGCGATGTTACTCGTTAGTGACATACTAACTAGTACGTACTACTCGTACTGACGTACTAACTAGTACGTACTACTCGTACTGACGTACTAACAATTTACTTAGACGATAGTTGGAAAATACTACAAAAGGCTATATATACACAATGTTTTCCATAGTTACTTTTTGTTCTGTTGAAATACAATTATCGACAACATTTTATGCAGTTTGCTTCCATCACACGGAAAATTAATTACAATGCTTGTTATTTAATAAAGTAATTTGTGTAATGGCCGTTTTAAATTATGCAATATTATTTATTTCATTGTAATTTAGTAGTTATATGTATTATATAGATATTATAACTTTATGAAAACGTTATTTCTAAACATTATGTTTGAGATTATAGTGTAGGGTAACAAGGGCAGGCGACGACGAGGTTTATCCGGCGCTGCCCAGTGATCAGATTGTCCATATGTTGGCAGATAACGCCACAGGATTTGTCTGAATATTGTTAGTGGCGAGTGATGGCGAGTGGCGGCGCGGACCCCGGCCGGCTGTATACTATTCGATTAGTATTTACTGTCGTAATACATGTATGAAATATATATCTGTAATAGAGATGTGGGGGTAGTGGAGAGTGTGCTCCGCTGGGCCGACCAATACAAACTGCGCTGGAAGAGAAACCTTCCTCGTTCCCTTCCCAATACTAGGTCAAGGCGATTTCTTTGCTCTCTAATCGAATAATTAATTAGCACTTAATCTTTACCTGTCGGTAGTTAATATGCTGCAATCCGATAAACACACATTAGATTGTTTAAAAAATAACAATAAAACATAACAATAAAACATTAGTGTAAAAAGTTAGTGGTTTAATAATGCCAGATAAAGTCTAGTTGTAGGACATACGTATGTTGCGGCGGCGGTTCTTACATCGGTCGTGGTGACGGTGTATCGGTGTTAATGAAAGTGAAAGTCAAGAACAATGCGAGTGTCAGCGTGAGGCGTGAGACTTACCAAGCTGCAGCAGGCCCATGAGCAGCTCGACGCAGCCGGAGAGGAAGGCCAGCAGCACGGCGAACTCGGGCCCTAAGCCGTGTAGGTTCTCGCGCGTCAGGATGGCAGCGATGGCGGTCGGCCCCACCGCGGAGTCCTTCACCGAGCCCAGCGCCGTGTACACGAAGCACGCCATGAAGGAGGAGTAGAGGCCGTACTGCGGCGGCAAGCCCGCCACGCCCGCGTACGCGATCGCCTGCGGGATCACCGTCAGGCCCACCGTTACACCTGCCGGCACACAACACACTGCATTATTCACCTCTATACATGTGGGTGACATATCTGCCAACTCATTCATTATTGTCACATTCTTCCTTGACAGCGGGATAACAAGGCGGTATGTGACGATGTCACGTTCACAAGACCCAGCCAACGTGTAAACAGAGGGCATAGTTCGAATATTCCTGGGAACGTTTTCGTAGTCATCGTCAAAAATTGGATGGGATTTATTGGTGTACTTTACGCCCGGTACAAATTATCGAGGACGTTACGAAAACGTTTATACAAATATCCATGCTACGTCAAATATGTGCATTTTTCATAGGAGAGGAATTATCAGTTGAGTTGAGTCGCAGAGGCGGCGGGCGGTTGTGACACCGAGCGGCCAGACGTCTGCGCCGCCGATGCACTCAAAAACATCAATTTCACGCTCCGATAACGCTCAATCGAAATAGAAAGCGTAGCTTGTGCTAAAGGACATAGAGATTAAAGTTACTTGTCTTGAGGCGGCGGCGATATATTATTTCTAGATACTTTTCTCGTTGGAGTTTTTTTACTATTGAATGTTTGTAACAGCGCATCAAGCGCAATCCATCGCACAGTTTTACTTGCTATATATAAATGATATATTTTAAGGAAATTAGCGACGTAGAGATCGTACCCGCAATGAGATCGGCGAGGCCGCTCCTGAAGTTGTAGTTGGGTAGCCAGGCGAGGATGGGCAAGCGGCGCAGCAGCATCTTGGCGGAGCAGCAGGCCCGCGCCCGCCGCACTGCCGCTCCGCGCCATCCGCGCCAGCCGCGCCGCTCCTGCCCCGCGCCGTCCAGCGTGTACCCGCTGCCGCCTGCACACACACAATAACATTATATTGAAGATTGTTAGATTTTGAAGTAGACGCAGGTGTACATCGTGAATGGTCGCAAGTGCCACGTCACCGCCGGCTTGACATGATTCATTAAACTGATAGTTAAATATTTACATAAATTGTTAAACACACGATAAGTTTCCGACTAGTTACTTTTATAAATTAACTAGTATTTCCGGTTTTTATTGAACTGCTGCTAATGAAACAACTTTCTCAGTAGGCTTAGTGTTCGTATCGATGTCCGCTAAAGTTAAAAAATACAAATATCCAAAATTAAAAAGTCGTTTACATATTTTATTATTATTTTAACTGATGTCTAATATTATTCTCTGTTTCAGTAACTCAGAAAAAGAATTGGACTAAGTACATGTCATCAGTCTTTTTGTTTGTACATATTCGAGTGAGTTATGAGACTTTTCCATGAATTCGGGGAAGTGTTGGAGCTTTATTAAAATGATCTCCTCCTCTCTCTCTCTCTCTCTCCACTCTCAAGGCACAATCTTCACAACTCACAACTAATTATCAATTATCTTTTAACAACGATAATTACACAAACTTCATTGACAAAAAATCACAAAGCGCACAACAGAACATAATTAAGTTGCATTATGACTTGTGAAGTGAAGCTTGAAGCATGAAGCAGCAACACTACTTGCGGAGATCTCCCTAATCATCGAATGAACATCCAGCACTTAGCGAGGCGAGTGCGATGTCGTAACATTATATTCATTGCATTAGTACCTAGAGTCGATACTTAAATACTTAATTCTATGAGTGGATCCACATTGTTAGGTTTTCCATTGGAACGAGTGACAGGTTGCCATCAGGTTGCCATCAGGCGCTGACACACACATATATTGTATATTTTAAAGTGTGCATGACAAAGGCCCAAATAAATGTACTTAAACAATGTGATTAGTAAGCACTAAGTAGGTGTTATATCGCGATATTGAAGGAAGGTACATTGCATTATACAAATAAGGAAGTGTTTAACTGATCCGAGCACAAAGTCAATACACTTGTTGTTTGCGTACCTTTTTGTGTGTAAATAAAACTTGGTGGTAAGATTGAGAGTAGAAACATGGGAGACGCGAGCACGTGGCTCGGGCGCGGCAGCTCTATTGTATACATCAATATTCATGAAGAAAGTTTTGCAAATATTGACATCATATCATCTTAAAATTTGCTGGCATTTTCATCAAACCATGTTTGGGAAACTTAATTTTTTGAAGACAATAATAGTGTTTATTTATTTATGGAGGCACTTTCGATAATAATAAATTGAGAAAAAATGTAAATTATTTATAGTAAAACGTGTAAGATAACATTAAACATAATGTGTGGAATGTCAAGTGCCGTGTGTGTGGATCCTCCACTGTGTACACCCGCCCCCCCGCGCCACGCCGCGCCGCGCCGCGCTGCGCCGACCGTGTGTGTACACACTGGAGGACAGAGAGTTGGAAATCTCTTCAATTGTGTACACAAGCTGGGGAAAATGAGTGAGAACTTAATTGTAAATGTCTCGATACGTTTCTTGTATGGATACCATAATATGATCACATTCACGTCAGAGGAGCCGCAGCTCCTGTCTACAGATACTTATATTGCTATGTTTAAATGTTTATAAACTTAGAAATCATTTGCCATAAAAATGACAATATAAGAAACTGCTTGTCCTTACAAATATTGCTTAGTAATACATTTTTTATATGTATGATTTCAAAGTGGGCCCCTGATTTCACTTAAATAGCGAAGTGATGTCTGCCTGCAGTTTTCGGCAATAAGTAAAAAAGGTTGCCAATGCAGAGCTTGCCTACAATGTGGATATTTTGAACATAATACCTGCTTTAAGTTAATTATTTTCTATAAACACACGTACATACATACAACAGAATCATTGTACACACACATATATTATTTTGTTGTTCCACGTTGTTTTGTTTCGGGTTGTGTTGCGTTGTTGTCGTCATGGCAACGCCGTCACTTTGTGCTGTTGTTATACCAACGCTGAGGTAGATAGTACTAGCTAGCACTTTGTATTTAAAGTCAAGGCATAAAAGATTTAATACATATCGCCGTATCTGTATGGTAAACAATAGTTCTTATTGACAATCCCATGTGCGTTTCCACTGCTATGACATATGTATTTATATTATACATATTGTTCTGTTTCTAAATTCGTCTTCGGGGTAAATTTATTTCGCTTGGAAAACTTTAATGGGGGTGAGTATTTCGTTTTGTTTTATTGTAATAAACATAACTGAATGTCGCGTACATAATACATGTCATGTGGAGATATGCGTCGCGGGCTCGCGAGCTCTCGGCCTCGCGAGCAACAAGGCGTAAGGTTACAACAGCAGGTAGCGCGGCGATTCACCTCCGCCGCGCTACCGCGAACTGCAGACTGCAGCGCGCTACGCAGAACCGAGGCAAACAATAAACTAGCTCGCAAGCTGATTGCTATCCAGTATGACTATAGTCTGACCAAGAATATAAAAATCCTCACTTGGGGTGCTTTAACCAGCTAGTTTATTATAATTTGTTTATTCTTTATCGCAAGGGTTTTTATATTTCTGGTCAAGCTACCTAGTTTTATAGTTTATAGTTAACTTTAAATTGTATGACAGCGCTCGGTTTTCATTGTGTGATACGTATGGATGGGATAGGATAGGATAGGATGGACGAGGGCAACATTACATTACGTTTGTTGCCCATTCTTATTCCAATTATTATTTATCATTGTCGGTGTTGGTTACACTTTATTTGTACAATAAAGCTACAAACTGCTGCTGCTTTATCAATAGTAAATTGTCCTTGAAATAATGTTTTTGTTAAGTTTTACGAGATGTTTGAATGTAGAGTAGCGGGTGTCAGGAAGCGCCTTGAGGACGGCGCGGCGCGGCGCGGCGGCGGAGTGACAGTGACGATGTGTCAAAATGACGTCCAAAGTCTGAACGATAGGGTTAAAAGAGCGGCGATTGTCGTGTGACGTGTCGATGGGAATTAGTGCGATCCGGTCGCCGGTGACGCTGCAGGGAACTGGGCCTGACCCCGGCTGCAGGACGCACATTTGTCACAATTGCAGCGCCCCGCCACCTGTCGCCTGTCACCTATCGCTGGCCTGCGATTATAAATAGAAGCCGACGAGCGAGAGCACTTCCTCATTACTAGGGATAGTGGGAACTGAACATAGTCAATGACAATCTGAGCCTGACGCCGCCTTACATGTATCACAATAAGTAGTGTTTGTCGAAGTCAATAGAGTTGTCTACTGACATGCAAGAAGCCAATGCCCTTGCCCTGCTTTTATTTCTTATTTGGTATATAGTTTGATTTTCCAATTACGATACCATGTGTAGCGACATACCGCTAACTGCAAATTAATATTTAGCGGAAACTGTTTATGGTGCGATGAACTTTGGCACAATTTGTGAATCATTTAGACAGTACGTATGATCATATTTAAGGTAAATGTACAAAAGTGTGAGTGATGATGTATTGTTCTATCATGTGTTTGTGTAAGTGATTTTGCAAGACGTATACTAAACGCTAGGTGACCTCTTTGTGTATAAAGTTTGCAAGTTTGAAAATATTCTTGAATGGATATATTCTATCATTTATCTTCTTTATAAGTAAATATCAATGTTTTCTTAAATCATTGAACATGTTTTGAAAAATTGTTAACACACAAAAAATGGTTAACGTTTTTAAAGTGACGCTGGCACTGTTTGTTTATTATTGCTAATAACATAGAACATTGTTTTGACTTAGGCATTGTAACGCACATCGAGATTGATATAAACTGAATGAACTTTCACTTTACTGTCCTCAACTGCGTCGTGTACAAATAAACTTACTTCGCGAGAGGAGGACGCACTTCAATGGCTGCCTTGAACAATTAGTCCAACACAAAAAAACATAATTAACTTGTAAACCTCACCCAGGAAATAAGTAAGTAGTTGTAACAAAAACATACGCCGCGAGCCAACAGTCACTCAGTACTAAACAATAATGGATCACAAGATCACTTGCCGTACTTTTTGCGAACATTTATTTCATACGAATACGTGTCTTTGTATTGAAATAGCACAATAAGTACGCTGCAGTGTAATTACAACATGATAATATCGAAACAAGTTTATTTTTTTACTCGCTTAGCAGATAGGTCACTCCTTACTAGCAGTAGATCAAACAGCAAAAATGATGCAAGTAATATGCATTATAGGATCACCACATTGCAGTGGACAAGCTGCAGCGTGCACTGCTTCCTAAGTACTGGGAATCTAATCATTCTCTTGAATTGATCGGAAGTTATAAAGGCAGATGAACTGACACAGGCAGCGACCGGTGTGCGCTCACTCGACACAACATCAAGCCCGTGCTCGTAATTTTCTATGAATCTGGTGACAACTGGAAACATCAAACTTGCAAAGATTTATCTATTCGGTTTACGAAAACAAAGTAAATTAATAAAGCTTTCGTAAAAAGCGAGACAGTGAGGCACTGTGACTCTCTGTGTCGGACATTTATCAATATTATTTGTCATTGGCAACATTTGCTGCGTTCACTTGTCATTGCATTCATTATTGAAAAAATATGTCGACTGTTTCAATAATATAAGCGGAAGAATTTATATGTTCTCTTGGAATTTATGTAAGTAAATATGTGTAAAGTGTAGTAGTGTAGTTCAACTTGCAGTTATCGAATATTCTAGATAAAAGTTGCACATGCATATGTCGTGGACATGCATTGAAACTTAGAGACAGTAATTTTTCGAGAGGCCATAGACGCAATGCGATTTATTCAAATTGAATAAAACAAATTGTATGAATCGGACAGACAATGTAATGATTCTTGTGTCAGATTCCACTAACAATAGTGTTTGTTTTAATTCGAACGTCCATCTTTTGCAGTCACTTTCA